ATTTAAGCGGTAGCTGTAAAAAGCTTCATATACATTTTTTAAAAAACGCATAACGCACTTATTTTTCAACTAAAAAAAAAATTTAAAACTACAATCAACTACAAACGCTTCTGGACCAGACTTCATTAAAATTGAAGCTGTAGCTGTTAAAAGCTTCATATATATTAAAAAAAAAACGCATTACGCATTTATTTTTCAACTAAAAAAAAAGTTTTAAAACTACAATCAACTACAAATGATTCTGGACCAGAATTCATTAAAATTTAGGCGGTAGCTGTAAAAAGCTTCATATGAATTTTTTAAAAAACGCATTGCACTTAATTTTCAACTAAAAAAAATTTAAAACTACAATCAACTACAAACGATTCTGGACCTGAATTCATTAAAATTTAGGCGGTAACTGTAAAAAGCTTCATATGAATTTTTTAAAAAGCGCATAACGCACTTATTTTTCAACTAAAAAAAAAAATTTTAACTACTATCAACTGCAAACGATTTTGGACCAGAATTCATTAAAATTTAGGCGGTAGCTGTAAAAACCTTCATATAAATTTAAAAAAGACGCGCTACGCTACGCACTTATTTTTCAACTAAAAAAAAAAATTTTAACTACAATCAACTGCAAACGATTCTGGACCAGAATTCATTAAAATTTAGGCGGTAGCTGTAAAAATCTGAATAAAAATTAAAAAAAAGGCGCAACGCACTTATTTTTCAACTAAGAAAATAAATTTTAAAACTACAGTCAACTACAAGCGATTCTGGAGCTGAATTCATTAAAATTGAAGCCGTAGCTGTAAAAAGCTTCATATAAATTAAAAAAAAACGCAGTACGCACTTATTTTTCAACTAAAAAAAAAAGTTAACTACAATTAACTACAAACGATTCTGGACCAGAATTCATTAAAATTTAGGTGGTAGCTGTAAAAATCGTCTAATAAATTAAAAAAAACGCGCTACGCACTTATTTTTTGAACTAAAAAAAATTTTAAAACTACAATCAACTACAAACGGTTCTGGACCAGAATTCATTAAAATTTAAGCGCTAGCTGCAAAAAGCTTCATATACATTAAAAAAAAACGCATTACGCACTTATTTTTCAACTAAAAAAAAAAATTTTAAACTACAATCAACTACAAACGATTCTGGACCAGAATTGATTAAAATTGAAGCTGTAGCTGTTAAAAGCTTCATATGAATTAAAAAATAANTGCAGAATAGGGTTGGTCGAAGACCTTAGTTATAGGCTTAATGAGGATTTGCACTCCATCTTTGAGTGGTCGAAGGAAAACCTACTTCATCTTAACANCTGAGTTCATTAAAATTTAAGCTGTAGCTGTAAAAAGCTTCATATGAATTAAAAAAAAACGCATTACGCACTTATTTTTCAACTACAAACAAAAAGAAGCTTACTACAATCCTCCAGAGAGTTAAATCTATCATATTCTAGGTATTTTACCAAAATGCATCAAGGTCGGGTGCCAACTTCATGGAGCTACAGATTTGCACAAAATTGCGGTTTTTTATACCCGCCAGCAAAAGAGCTCAAGAACTTTACCGAATCTGGGTAAAGGCACACTAAAGAGAAATGTTTACAAATTATGAGAACGTTAACTGAGAATTCTGACAGTACAACGGAACCACAAATTGCGGATACACCTTTGTTACCTTCAGACAACTTTGAGCTGTTTTCAGGTCTTCTTAAATAACCTACCTTTGTGAGCAGAACTGATAAAGCTACTGCAGAGCTGCGGCGCTATGAAAATATCGCTGCATAAACTCAGTCGTAAAGTAAAGCCACTCCTTCTGCTGGAAATGTTATTTCTGACAAAAGATGCCACTTAATCAGTTGATATTTTTGTATTATAATATGCAGTTAGAAAACCAATAAAATTAACAAAAATTGTGTTTACAAATTGTTTTTCTTTGATACTTTCATTACAGCAGTTATGGCATGCACTTGTTTTTCCAATCAAGCACTTGTTATTTGAATCGAGCACTTGATAGTGTGAATTACTACTCAATTGACAATGTTTTTTCCATGATAAACACATAGCAAGGTAGAACCGCTCTCTCAATTTGTCGGCCATGATTTTTTTTTGAAGTTTGCCAACATTTTAAAATCATATAAAAGTGAAAATAAAAAATTGAAATTGTTCGAAATTGTTGTTGCTTGAGATTGAAAATGAAAATGTGTGTGTGAGTTTGTGAGTAAATTTAAAAATTAAATTGTTTGGAAATGTCAAGAATTTTAAAAGTGACTCTCAGCGGTTCTACCTTACTATATTTTTATAATGGTTTTTTCAATGCTCTCGCACGTTATGTTTGGAAATAAATTAGTGCGACTGTGTGCAGATGTGAAAAGAAAGCGAGTGACTTAAAATGTAATTTGAGTGTATCCATGCAGCTCTCTGATAAGTACATATAGTCGAGGTTTTTGCAAAACCGCATAAATCGCCGTTGTGGCAAAAATTAGATTTGGTAGCCCTGAACTCCAGGCATCGAGATTAATGCATACAAATCAAAAATCTTTATTAAACATCAGATTTGTAAAATAATTGCTAGAGAAAATACCGCCTATCAAGGCAATGCCTTCAAAGAAAAACTGTTTTTTCACTCTCCTGCTAAAATTTGAGTGCCGTATGATAGGCGGTTTTGCAATTGGTCGATGGGCGGTTTTGTAGAAACATCGACGATATGTATGAAAATACATACATCAAATTTCAATTGCATTCTCATCTTATATGTTCATACATATCCAAATAAAATTAAAAAAATAGCTTATGAAATATTTTTACCATTTTTTCGTTTTTATTCGCGCAGTGCGCGTTTAATTTCTTATTCAAACACTTATTTAATTCTAAAAAGTATCCGGCGCTTATTAAACAAATTTTTAATATTTATTTTAAATTTATATGTATAAAAATATAACTCTAGAAAATTGTTGATTAATTTTTTGAATTGACAAATCTCTTTCTCTTTAAGTTGTTCTGAAATTTCGGGTGAATCAGGCGCTTCAGCCACTGGGACTTCGCAGGGTAAAGAGATTGCACCCAGATACCTATAGACGCATGTGCTTAAAAATAGTTGGCTGCATTGAATCTTTCAATTGAACACCGCAGATGTTCTCCCAACAAAGCCCTCTAACATCGTAATTAGGCGCCTTAAACTTTCGCAACACCTTAACGCCTTGGCTCATGCGCAACTCTCGTAGTTCCTGTTCCTTTTCATTTTTGTATGTATATATACTAACAATTAAAAACTATCCTAATAGTAGGGGAGCCCACGATGCTAAATCGGGATTTATTCGAACGCCGTGGGGACCTATTGGATTTTGGGTAAAAAATGGGTGAAAAAAATGTACTTGAGCGCGTCAGATATACATAAGCAGGGCTCGAAACGCGGTATTCGATATCGAACGGAACTCGAATCGAAATTTGATTTTAAGATCGCGGCATTCGACAGCGAGTGCGCTTCGCTCGTTTAAATTGTATTGCAGAGAAAACAGCTGCCATTTTGTTTTATTCGATTAGAAACGAGTAATCACTCGATCACCAATGCCGCGATTCGGGCCCAGGCCTGGGCGACGCCGACTGCGCAGTAACGTCGCGTGTTCGTATACACGAAGTTGAAGGTGACGAAGTCATAGATAATATCCTTCAATTTTGTGATGTTTCTACTGAATATTTATATACATACGCGTGCATGCGTGGCTTTAAAAAAATATCGCAAAATTTAAGCCAAATAAGGAGGCTGTTTCAGGCAGTGATGGGCATACCTAAATACAAACTTGTGTATTCAAAGTACCAGGTTGGGTACTAAATACTCAAATACTTAGTATTTGGAGATGTTTAAATATTCAAGTAAAGAGAACTTCGGTATATAGAAGTTGATAAATACTAGAGACCGACCGAAGGTTCGGCCTGGTTTCGGTATTCGGCCTATTCGGCTGATTTTTTATCTTCGGCCTCGGCTTCGGCCTAAAACTCCGAACAATTGGGCAATTCACAAGGTGTTGTATTTGTCACGATGTTACATTATTTTACGACAGTTGTTAAAATTTTGTTGTTGTTTCGCATCTCCACATAATACTATTGAAAATGTAAGAACTGTATATATAAAAAAAAAATACATAAAAGTGATACAATAGCGTTTTGCTGTGATTTTGTAGAAGCATGGGCGCTATTTGGAAGTTTTTCAATAGAAAAAAGTCAACTTCGATTTGCAATGTGTGACAGAAAAAGCTTTCCGTGGGAAGTGCAGCGTCAGAAAAACAAACAAGTTTGAAAAAGCATTTACAATTGCATCCTTCACAATACCAAGAATTTTTAGCAGGTGTGGTTAATGTATGTTTGTAAGGTGTTCCTTTTATTTAAAAAATAATAAAAGCTAGTGAACCCGCATGGCTTTGACAGCCGGTTTCACCAGCAATTTAAATGGAAAATGATTTTTTATTTTCTGTCAATTTCCATATAAAGTTAAAAAAATTAATATCATTTTTTACTTAAATTGCTTTCGTGTAATTGGCTGGAAGACGTCCAAAAATGAATTTCAAAAACTTAAATAATATTCCAAATGTTAGTCAGAGTTATAAGAGATCCGAGTGTCATATTTCATCTAAACCCGTGCAGCCGTTTCTGAGTGAAGATAAGTCTCGCATAGTGCAGATTTTTAATTTAATAAAATAATAATATAATAATAAAAAAAAATATAAACTTTATCACACATCTACAGGCTAAGGTCTTTAATTGGACCTCTCATTTTTGAAATTCATTTTCTAAAGTATTCTCAAACTAAAATCTCCTTAAATATCTTTCGTCCGACATTGTGATGAACAGGGTGAGGATATTAAGGCATTTGCTTATTTTGTCTGCTTGGTCGTATCTGTAAACAATTTAAAGAATCACACGTTTCATGTCTTCCTTGATTAAAAATGTAAATTATAATTTTGCCTTTTTTGACTATATTGCCTTTTCTGCATGTTTTGCTTTTTACCTTCTTACCTTCCTTTTATTAACTCGGGATGTAACTATGTAATATTCATGCGCCTAAAAGATGCAGCGATTCCTATTCTCAAATTACATACCTGATGGNTTGTCTAGAGGCAGCTTCAAGAAACTTATACTTCAGTATTTCTCTAATTAAAACTTCTTGAAAACATGGTTATCGACTCTCGCAATCTAAATTATGTATATTCATGTTTATCTTTCTNTATTGCCTTTTCTGCATGTTTTGCTTTTTACCTTCTTACCTTCCTTTTATTAACTCGGGATGTAACTATGTAATATTCATGCGCCTAAAAGATGCAGCGATTCCTATTCTCAAATTACATACCTGATGGCAGTACGAATGGCAATTATAACAGGGAGGTTTTAGTTTTTTAAACTATAATTTTATTTATTTATATTTATCTCTTCATTTTCATACCTTTTTCTTTCAGCTGATTTCTTGTTTTTCTGGACCTTACGTAGTAAGGACATGTANATTTAATTGCTTATATTTACATCGTTGTGCAAGAAAAGATTATATCTTAAGGTACTAATTACCATTAAATTAAATTAAATTAAATAAATTGTCACACAGTTTTGTATTTTGTCACTTTATCAAGCTTTTTAAGTTTATTTTGTTTTTTTATGAATAAGGCCATAAGTAGTTATTAATGTCATGATGTGTTTATTTACGTTTGTTTTGTTCTTATTGTCATTGTGGGTATAATTTTTTATTGTAGTTTTTTGTTTTTGTGCTGCCACTACCATCTTATTGAACTCGCCTTTGGTGGTGAGTTTCTTGTAAACTAGGTTTGGAATTTTGAAATTCGTGCCCGTATTTTGTTTGTAAGTCAAATATTTTTGAATGCTTAAAATGCCTAATGCAGCATTTTTGCTGCATTTAAAATGCAACATTTAGCACTTTCGACCATATGCTTTCGAAGAGCGTTCATGCTATCGCATTTAGCAAATGTAGATTTACACGAGTTCGAAATCGTATGCTTTTCACAAACAGCCGTGTTCCAGTCGTTTATTCAGACCTGTATCTATCATGACGAATTCGCACGGACCATGCGCAAAAAACCATACTCAAAAGGGGGAAACAAAATTTTACATAAAATTCAATACAAAAACTTGAATTGTTTTAACCATAACCGAAAATTTGTTTGTATATATATGCATTTTTCGGTGCTGCCAATTAATTAGGAAATAAATCAAACAAAAGGTGCATTCTTTTGCAACCGAGCTAGAAAAGAACTCTCGCTTAAATGAACGAAATACACGCAAAGCAACAACACAAACTCGGGTATTTATCCGAGTTCAGCCAGATCGGTTAAAGAATACGCGACCTGAAAGGTGGTGTTGTTAAGTGAAAAAAATGCTCTATTGTGAATTGTTAAGGGAAAGTGGAGAGGGAAATTTTTGTTTCCTTATATACGTGACTTATATTTTAAATAAGTATATATATTACGCAAATACCTGGCATAATTAGTCATTTAAATTGTTTTTTGTATCTAAGTCCCGTTAAACTAACCGTATGTTTCTTGCCAGCTACCAACAGGGTTGCTTAAGTAGCTAAACGGAAATTTTACCCGAGTTGAGCGTTCCTTTGTCACTCGCTTACAAAAAAATGCAAATTGATCCAGATTTGCGTAACTTTTCTTTATCCAAATAATGTAAAATAATAAATGAAATCTCGATCGGCGATCATAGAAACGCAGCAACTGTATACGCGAAAAAGCAATGTTGTCACTTTTTCTCATAAAGCGAAGCGCACATTGGCGCGATTCTGTCGTTGCGAATCCGCAAGCCCAAAAATTACAACAATGCTACCCATACATTTTAATGCGCTAGCGCACACTTGCACGATTCCGTCGCTGCGAATTTTTCGAACATTCAATGTTCCTCTCTATTGACGCGTTCGAAACGCGGCTTGCAGCGTTTTGAAGGCGTCAAAGAAGAAGAAGAAAGGTGTCACAGCAATAAAGGCAAAGAAAAAAAAACGTGTAATGTACAAAAACTAATAAAAACGTTCGTAATAATAGTATTTTGTACGATTTGGGCACGCCGAGTGCGAAAATACACGAAATAAAGGGAAAATTGAGTGAATTGTACATCGGAAATCGACGCGAAAAAATCGCTCAAGTGTGCGCACGTTTGCGGATTCGAAGTTAACAGCCGAATTCGCAACGTATTCGCAACGATGGAATCGCGCTAATGTGCGCTTCGCTTAAAACCATGTTCGAATCGTGAAAATTTTCGAAGATCATAGTGTTGCTTTTAGCATTTATATTCTTAATGCAGAAATTGAGTTGTATTTAGGTAACGAATTTTGTATGGATAAATATGCATTTAGAGCTAAATGTGCGAAAATACACGAAATAAAGGGAAAATTGAGTGAATTGTACATCGGAAATCGACGCGAAAAAATCGCTCAAGTGTGCGCACGTTTGCGGATTCGAAGTTAACAGCCGAATTCGCAACGTATTCGCAACGATGGAATCGCGCTAATGTGCGCTTCGCTTAAAACCATGTTTTAATCGTGAAAATTTTCGAAGATCACAGTGTTGCTTTTAGCATTTATATTCTTAATGCAGAAATTGAGTTGTATTTAGGTAACGAATTTTGTATGGATAAATATGCATTTAGAGCTAAATGCGCTATATGTGGTCGAAAAAATTATAGCCGCACCAAATTTTGATAAGTTTTAAAATATTATTTTTGTTGTTATTGAATTTTGGTAAGTTTTTATAAAAATATAGTTCATTCTTTAACAACACGATTGGGCATTTGCACAAAATTTGGTTCAAATCGTATTCCAATTGTGTATAATTGTGAATAATTTTCTCGAAAAAAATTCAAAATATAATAAATAGTTTTTGTACTTTTCAAAAGTTGTATTTAAAGATAAGCATGTTTGAAACATATATAAAAAACATCAATCATACAATGAATAGTTTTTATACATTTCGAAAGTTTCATTTGCAATATAATGCCCCTTATCATATTAAAACGTGTTTAAATATAGGTGATTTTTTCCCATTGTCTTAAACAAGGTTTTAAACACTTTTTTTAAACAAATGTTTTAAATATTGCCAACCCTGATGGTGTTACACATGTATTTCAATGAACTTATTTGAATTAAATTGTTCGAACACATGGCAACCCTCCTAAATAAAGGTAAGAAAAAAGCCTTTTCAAACCCATTTCGATCGATACCTATTTTTTGGTAACTAATCCAACTTATTGAATATTTTGAATTTAACGTGGCAACCCTCTTCAAACATTCAAAAATTCCAACCTAAAGATTTCTTATCATTATTTTGCTTGACTATGTTTTTTTTTATATTTCATATACCTTTCGTATTAGTTAATTGAATTAGACTTTTGAAACAGGTGGCAGCCCTCTTCAAAAGCATTTTCAAGCTTAATCCTTGTAAACTCTCCTCCGTCGGAGATTGCGATACATATTTTAATTAACTGATGAATTAAGTGAAATTAGACTTTTTAAACGTGTGACAGGTCCCTAAATATGGCTCAGAAATAAAAAAATTTCAAACCCCCTTGGAATGATACTCACATTTTAATAATTCATTTAACTTATTAAATAATTTGAATTTAACTTTTTAAACAGGCGGAAACCCTCGTATAGTTCAGTTAAGAAACAAAGCTTTTCAAAACCCCTTCAATTTATACGCATTTTGTGAGAATTGGTTTATTTTTAAAATAATTTGAATAAAATTTTTTAAAAGGTAGCAAGTTACGCTTTTCAAAAAAGTAAAACCCTATTGCACATCTGCAGTCCAAGCCTTTTAATATGTCACCTCACTTTGTTATGAAATAAAAAATCACAGACTTATTATTTTTGAAACGTAGAAAAATTTAATTTTAATGTTCGGCTTCGGCTTCGGTGTTCGGCCGAATATTGAATAGTACCTAATATTAGGCTTCGGCTTCGGCCAAAAACTCCAGCTTCGGTCGGGCACTACTAAATATAATAGTAAAAACTAAGGTATTTAGCAGTTTGCTAAATACTCAGGTAAGAAAACTTAGGTATTTAGAAGCTGTTAGATAGTAAAGTAAACCGAACTTCGGTATTTAGGAGCTGCTAGATATTGAATTACAAGAAAATTAAGTATTTAGCAGACTCTAAATACTGTGGCCTAAAGTGTTCAGGTACTTTGGAGGTGGAAAATACTTTCACTAAAGTATCAAGGTATTTAGGCTAAAGGGCTAAACACTTTCAAACTATGTAAATACTTTATGACTTAGGAAAAATTTAATAGTTAAAGCTTTACCTCATACTCACCTCACCTCAACTTACCTTACCGCAACTCACTTCTGCTCACCTCAACTCCCCTCACATCAACTCACCTTTTCTCACCTCAACAAACTTAAATTTATTAGTGTTGTGTAAAACTGAATAAGAAAATCTTCTACCCGTTTGCGATATTTACTCAGTACTTGTCAAAAAGTATCGAGTTATCGATACTACTCAGCACTCAAGAAAAGTATCGATATTCCGTACTCGGTACGCGTATCGTTCTATCAATACACATGTAAAAATTATAAAGCCCAAAGTTTACTTACAAAGTTTTACTTTAGTTTAAATGTTATGATTGTAAGTACACATTCAAACAATGTTTTTTGTTTTAATTACTTGACTCATTATTCATAGATTTGTGATAATTCTTAACGTTTTGTCAGCGATTTCTGTGCCACCTAAGACCGATACTAATTCTGATTCGAAAATGAAACCGACGAACTCAGAATGCATGACCCCAACATACATTTTTTCCCAATTTCAAATTGTGATTCTGACAGCCACCCCGAATATGAAAATGTTCCATGTTCACATGAAAATGCTCCATTTTTCTACATCCTTTTCTTTGGGGAATTGTAAAAAATCAATACTTTTCTTATACATAATCCTCCCGGTTAACAAACAGCTTGCAGCTCATTAATGCTTTCTATAGCCTAGATTTTCAAAGTAGAAGACCTCTATTTTTTATTAGAACTCATGGCACAGCCATGTATGTACATTAGATTACATAACCAAAAAAATTGCGTTTTTCCGCCGGGATTACAAAATTTATTATATTAGGTTCATTCTTTTGCAACCGAGCTACAAAAGAACACTCGCCTAAATGAAGAAATATTCGCAAAGCAACAACACAAACTCAGCTATTTATCCGAGTTCAGCCAGGTCGGTTAAAAAATACGCGACCTGAAGTGTAGTGCTGTTAAGTGAAAAAACTGCTCTGTTGTGAATTGTTAATGAGAAAGTGGTCTTCAAATATAATAAATTTTATAATTCCAATGGAAAAAAGGTACCGATTATATTTTGTATGTTTTGGAGTGATGCACATATGTATGTATGTACTTATAATTATTTGTAAATACATTTCTTAAAAGTAAGTTTTCATATAAATATAATCTCATTCAAAGCTCGTTTCTTAATCACCCCGTTTATACAGGAAAATCTCTTTTCCTGCTAAATTAAGCAATTTAAATATATTTTTACTTATTTTTTTATTTAAAATAATAATAATAATAATAATAATAGATTGGCGCTTACACATATGTTAGTGTTTGGCCGAGCTTCTCCTCCGACTTGTGGCGTGCGCCTTGATGTTGTCACACAAAGCTGTAGGTCCCAGTTTTATGCCGACTCCGAACGGCGATTGTATTTTTATGAGAAGCTGTTTTTCATGGCAGAAATACACTCGGAGGTTTGCCATTGCCTGCCGAGGGACAACCGCTGTTAAGAAAAAACCTTTTTCTATATTTTTTGGGATGTTGCTTTGACCAGGGCTTGAACCCAGGTGCTGATGTGTGAAAGCGCGCACTGCTTACCACTACACCACAAAATACTTTTACAAATTTCCTTTCCTTGTTAGCGTCCATTTTTGTCTACATTTCTCCTCTTCTTCGCAAATAGTTATAATCCGTAAAAGTAGGTTGGGCACCGAAAAGTTATCGGCTTAATCTAACCCTGGGATTCAATAAGCAGTCTCTAGTCAGTATTAGTGACTTCTGGTCGTGAACATGGATTTTGAGACTATTTGGTATTCAGTAAGCAGTCTCACGTCTCTAGTCTAAAAAAAAGTCACTAATTTGTCAGCTGGCTCTGAGCTGGTCACAAAAAGAAAAATATGGAGGAAAAGATACTTGTTTTCTGCTTTATTAAAAAAAACGCGAAAATGAAGCGAAGAAGTATTTCTTCAACAACAATTTCATAAGGAAATAAAACAAATTGCTTGCTATCGTAAAAATTCGTCGAAAAAAATTATTATTATTTTTTTTAAACATTCAAATCTAAGGATTATGTAAAAAAATCAAACTAACCAAACGAAAAAAAAACTAAATAAAAAATCCTCTGTGCCCGAGGAGGATTCGAACCCGGCAGTTTAATGCTCTGACCACTCGGCTATTGCCAATCTTGGAGCGGCGCAAGCAAAAGGCATAGATAAATGCTATCAGTTGCCTGCCTGTGTTTGTTTTCAACACACATGTTTGGTGAACTTTTTGCGACTCTCTCCTACTGAATACCCAAATCTTCTCAAGTCCCAAAAGTATTCACTGATTGCTAGTCTCAAATTTAGTGACTTGGGATCAGACTCACGATTGAGAGAATACAAAGGTTGGGCCGATCTCGGACCGCTATTCCTCTCTTAACGAATTTGACAGAATCGTCGTTTGCATGACGTCACTCTGGTGCATCTTGTTTACATTTTCCTTGCAACATTTTTTCTTCTTCTTCCATTCTTGCTCACGTTTTGGCATTTCTCTCTCGCAATTGCACCAGTGCGACGTCACACAAAAGTTATTCTCAAAAATCCTCTCTGATCGGCGCAATCTTGTATTCTATCATTCTTGGATCAGACTGAATTACTGAATGCCAGCAAAAGATTATTTTGTAACTAAAGATTAACGAGGGAGGAATTTTTACGGCTAATCTTTTTTTTTAATTACAGAGGGAGTTAAGCTTGAAAATTTGTATACTCTCAATATATGTAAACATACTTGTACACATTCTCTTAAAAGCGACGATATGAAACCACGTTTGCTGTTTGGCCACTTTACTTTTTCGCAATAAATATTTACCCATATTCATTTAACCTATTACTTAATAAACACAACTTTATTCAATTGTTTTAATTATCACATTTCATCTGCCAGATTTCGTGCACCTAAATCCACTACAGGTTTGTCATCTGCGGAGTAATTACTGGGAAATAAACGTATCACCTCCTCCAGCGGCAACTTAGCCGGCAAAGATCTCGTATGATGGGATACACCAAAAGCGCGTAAATGATAAATGAGATACTCATACAAGTACATTCCCCAGGGATTTGTATAATGGAAAGCAATCGAGTAGTTGGAACAACAATTTAAGCCCTAAAAAAACAATTTTTTTTTTGTTGAAATCAAAATTGTGGTTAAATTAGTTTTATAACTTACACTTTCGACTCTATGCGGTGACATGGAGAGTAGCCAATCGGAGATTTCTGTAGTATTGTCGGTGCTCATGTAGGTGTGCAGATCAATTGGAATAAATTTCGGTTTATTATCGGTGCCCAAGGCGAAACGTGCATCGGCGAGATGCACGCCAACATTTTGCAAGCAGATACCCATGTTGAAGTCCTCAATGCCGAATTTCCTTGCACGCGGACAGAGAGTAGTGTTGTGGAAGGCCATAGTCATAAAGCGACGCAGAGCTTCTTTGCTAAGTACATATGCTGCTCCACCAGACATGTAAGGCTGTTGAACGAAATAGGTAAACATGTGTTTTTGTTATTTGTGCTCTAATAATAATTTTAATTGCTAAATGTATTTGAGTTTCAGGCCAATTTTGTTTAAATATTTTTAGAGAAAAATAACAATACACAATTTTTCAATACTAGTAGTTATAGTCGGGGAGGCGAGGGAGAATGCATGCAACCATCTCTTCTACAAAATCGAGAGCTTAAACCCTAAAATGTATTTCATAACAATACATTGAATACAAGTCGAAACTGCATATGTTGATGCGGTATCTATAAAATAATATCGATCGTGCTCCAATCAAATATTGTGGAGCCTACTAACAAAGTTTCAGCCAAATCAAAAAGATTTGATAAAAATATACCTATTTTTTATAATGATCCATTTAAGATCCGCAGTTTGCGGAAAATAAACAACAGCGCTGAGCGACCTCTAAAACTTGTTCAAATAAGCTGAAATTTTAGGAGGAACTTATTATCTACAAGAATCCGAACGGTCTCAATCGATATTCAAAAAAGTTTTAGTTTTGAATCACCCTAATGTGCCACGAAGGCAATATTAATTTTTAGTTTAAGTTGACATAATAAGGATTTTATAACTTGAAATTTTTAATTTTTTCAGTCAACATAATAAAGGCTATTTACAGCCGTAGACCAAATTATAGAATAACATACATATGTGTTTCGTTGGAGGTATTTTTGGGACCAAAAAGATTTTTTAGCTTTAAAATAAAATTTTGAAGATTTTTTTTTTTTAATAAAGATTTATAGGAGATTTTCTATGGCAACACTGCTGCGAAAATTTCGCGCTTTGCATGGGCGTCTACACTTTTTGTAATCCGAGAATCAAAGTATTGAATGATAACGCTGTAAAAAAAAAAAACTTTATGATATGAGGAACAAGTATTTTAAAATACAAAATAAAAATTCTTTAAAAAAAACTATCTTGTAAAAATATTTAAATACAAAATACTAAAGCTGAAGCCACATAAAACTTTTTCTTGGCTTTGCGTGACATATTCGCTTTGACAGATAAGATAAAATGTATGAGAAAGCATGAAACATCTCACATAGCACTTTTTAGCTTCAGCGCCAAGCGTAAAGTTGGGCAACTCTCATCTTTTCGCGCGCTTTGACAATCAGCTGATTGTAATTATTCATTATTTTACCAATTCTGCCGCCAAAGCCTTTTGCCGAAAAAATCAAGGTAAATATAAAAATCAACTACAATTGGTACTTAAAGTATAGATTTTAACCTTCCAGCAAGTAAATATTGAAGGAAAGGCTAATCGAAGCGATTAAAGTGCAGCCATGCCTCTTCGATAAAAGCTCGCAATTATTTCGGAACAAATTTTTGAAGGAGCGAGCATGGCAGACAGTTGCGGCTTCCAGCGGAGTTTCAGGTAAGTGGTTTCTATTTCCATGTATTGGCCAATTCACTATCTGGGGATAGGTACTGAATTTTCTTTTTTCAATAGAGGAACATTGTAAGAGCAGATGGAAGTCACTGCGGGACAGGTTCGTGAGAGAGATAGCCAATAGCAAAGCTAAGTCAGGAGCTGCTGCCGATGACAAACCAGAGTGGTGTTATATGGAGTCAATGCGCTTTTTAACGAAGCACATTACTCCCAGAAAGTAAGATACCACGTAAACAAATATCTTGTATTTTCCATATGAAATTTTTCCTTATAGAACCGTTTCAAATTTTCAATGGGATGACGACCAACCATCCTGCAGCAATTTCACACAATCCTCTTGCAGCGATTTCACACAACCATCTTGCAGCAGTTTTACACAACCATCTTGCAGCAGTTTTACGCAACTACAAGACGAAATTGAAGACGTATTGGAGGAGCACTTGGAAGCGCCAGTAAATCTGAATGAAAGCCAGATCAGTGCAGACACTCCAGCAAGCAAAAAAACACGAAACGTAAGCGAATTGAGGAGGAGTCGCATGAGCGGTTTGATCGCCTCTGTGGCAGCATATATCATATCCAAGAAGGTAGGCGCTTCCAAAAATAGTGCATTTTTACAAATGCTTGATGAATGCCTTCAAAAAAAGCCTGAAGAAGTACAAGAAAGACTAAAAATTCAACTACTAGCGTATGCATTTAATGCCAACTAGTTAAAAGTTAGCTTTCCCATTGCGTTTTGTATGTTTATTTTTCGCCGTACAAATCGAAGGATTACATCAAAATTGTGAAAGTTATTCTCAATTAATTATAATTTAATTTATTATAAAAGTGTAGTTCATTATATAATAAAGACTATATACACATATCCACATTCCAAAACTTTATACAAAAATTACTAGTCTTGGAATTTGGATATATGTGTATGGCCTTTGTTATATAAAACTATTCTTTTGTCCATGAGTGCATATGATATCCCGAAAAATGCTTAGAAACAGTACTCAGATTTCTATATTTTCAAGTTATATAGTATATATAACTATGTATGTATTTTCAAGTTATATAGTATATAGTATATATTTTCAAGTTATACAGTTTTATATAACAGAGACCATACACATATATCCAAATTCCAAGACTTGTAATTTTTGTACAAAGTGTTGGAATGTGGATATGTGCTACACTTTTATAATAAGGACACGACATTTTAACCAGTTTTGACTATTTTTCTATTGGCTGTTTATTGTTTATAATATTTTTTTTTAGAAGAAAAATTTTAAATTGGACTTGTATGGTTTTTATACCCGAGCGCACTTGTGCACAAGGGCATTATAACTTTGTTCACATAACGGTTGTTTGTAACAGGCAAAACGAATCGAGATAGATATAGACAAATGTATACATAAATTATCAGAATGAAAAGAGAAATCGATAAAGCGGTGACTGTCTGTCCGTCCGTCTGTGCACACGATAACTCGAGTAAAAATTGAGATATCTTAACGAAACTTGGTACGTGAACTTCTTTTGGGCGTAGGACGGATGGTAT